TAAATTTCGAATTGTTACCGAGCATGTCATAAAAACATGTTGCACAAAAATAGTCCCTATTCACGAAATTCGTTGTTAAATGGAATACTCGTTTTCAATACAATTACAATCAGACAATTTGTTTCCCAAATAACATCAGTACCAACTGAGCATCCCTAACCTGTAATAGTATATATTTAGTTCAAACAGGTAAAATGTACCAAAGTGTACAGGAAGTTGTATTTAAAAAATGGGAATTAGGTGACGGCCCATGCCAATGTTATCAGTTATGTTTTGTAATCATAAGTGAGTGATTGAGTTGTTTATCGTTACATGGACAATATTCTAGTAGCCATATCCTCATGAGAACAATTAATGTATCAAAGATGAATATATTTAAAATGTAAAACCTGTCGTCTATAAACAGTGAGTAACACCGATATATAATTGAAATTAGCATGTTATCATAAATGAATGTAATAAAGTGAACAATGCAATATAAATAAAACTTAAACTATGACTCCCTATGACTCACACATTAGCATAAAAGGGTGTTTTCTAAGTGACACAATATAAAATCGGGCTATAGATCGCCAACAATTGAAGGTAAATCACCACATTAGAGACCAGGGAGATTTACGGTGCTACCTGCATGGACCCTAGTTGGATCTACACCCTCCCTTCAGATGTTGACGACTATGACAAATTTAGCCAAGCATTAATAAGCACAAATTCACCGATTACTAACCTGGTAAATTGTGTGCACTCATGCGAGACGCACTCATTTAACAAATCATACGAAGCGTTAAACTACCTTCAATAAAACAGGCGTGGCATACGCAAATGACACATACCCACGAAGATGTCAATTCGATAGTTCAACACAGGAGTCATTAAATATTTTTATCGACATTATCGTTCATTTAATTCCTTATAATTCAATTCAATATAGTTAGATGGCGCCTTGATAACGTGACAGGAATAATTGCCTGTCATCAGGCAGTTATCATCACATCTACACATAGGCCTGCGTCGATCAGAAGCTAGATAAAGAACTATTTATTGTCAGTGCAAAATAACACTGACTGCCACAAATGTTCTCACAACAAGGAGTAATTTGTGTTAAACTGATCAGGGCTGTTTATGAGCTAAACATTAACCGTATTTCACCTCCAACTTGTTCGATTCGGTTAAAACTTTTGGTGAATTTCAACATGTTTATGTCTGATAATATTAGGTTTATATTGGTGTTCAAGATATCCGAGTTTCAAATGCAGTCAGGAAGTTTAGAATCAGAAGAAACGAAATTGAACACAGAAGTAGACAATCTGACTTTACTGGAATTAGGTGTTTGGATAGTCACTTGGATAAAAGAGATGGAATCTAGTTTCAGGATCATATGGAATCCCTTCCACAGCAGAATCTGATGAACGAATCATACGATATCATGAGCATCCGTTTCGAAATCACTGTAAAGTAACAATGCCCGTTGTCCGGAATATAATCAACACAGTAACAATCACACGCAATAGCCAAGCGTTCACCAGAAGTATGTACTCGGGAACATATCTTGAATTTCAAAATAACAAGTGACATACTTTTTTCACTCATGCATCACATTTGTAAATGTTCCCCATGTATCAAGAGTTTTGCTAAGGCCAACCCAGCTACCATGTTACATGCAGTTACTAATAAAATTATTATTGACACGATATGGCTGAAATATTGCCTATGAGACTTAAAATCTTAACTCACTCACTCACTCACTACTAATTATTGAGGACATAACAATTGTTGTATTTGTTTTTCCCCCAAGAAACCTTCATATGCCGGCACTCCCTTTCACATTTTCCAGATTTGATATGTAAAGTGATGCCAACATTCACTAGCAGTTCCTTACATTCAAGTAAGTCTCTATCCATCCCCATTGTGTTGTTTACTAAAACCTACGCATTGTCTTGTAGACTGTGAAATCAACAGAACACTATTTTCCCCTCTACATATGTGATGGCAATCAAGATCGTCCTGATGCAGACACTATCAGCTGTCTTGTTAGCTCCTATACTAATACACAAAATCTTACTTATAGACGTTTGACGGGTCCAGAAACCCTTTCTTCAGGACGTTGACATTACAGACTGGGAGAAGGCAACAACAGATAGGTGTCATGTTTCCACCAAGAAACAGCTGTTTACATCCCTCTATACAATTAAAATCAGATGGTACGATAAATTTTATTGTTTGCCAGCTGGAACGCGTTTGATGCATAAAAGGTACCGTCTGATTAGTCAGAGCCAGTGCATTGGAGGACTGTCAACACAGGGTACTTTGGAATCGGTAAGTACGCTACAACAGTCACCTGCAATCGAATGCTATTTCTGTCTTTGCAAGTAGAGGGTGAAAGTGTGCTGACATCCTAGATGGTTTAAGACTTGATAAATACTCTACCGAGGACCTGCTTTCCGTGATTTTCTTTGACTCGGTAATTAAACTACAAGAGGTAGCTGCCAAACTAAGTAATCTCCAGCTCGGTAATTAAGCTACAAAAAGAGAGTTGCCATCTCAGATTATTACTCACGCGACAATCAGACGATGCTTATTCAGAATTCTTTGCTTCTTTTTGAGAGTTCGCCAAGGCGAAAATGTATCACCGACTCTATTTTCACTTATTTTTAATGATGTTGTAGAAGCTTTGTCACAAGTCCAGGATCTTGGTTTTTCACGTTCGCTTGTTGTTACTACTATTTGTAGACGACGTGGTTATATTTAGCAATAATATTAAAGGTTTGCAGGGTGGACTGGATAAGTTATCTGAATACTGTAATCAGTTGGGATTGGTTGTTAATACTGAAACAACTAAAGTAGTGGTATTTTGCAAAGGTGGTAGAGCTGCTAAGTGTGAAAAATGGTTTTATAATTGCGAGGAGATAGAAGTAATGGGGACCTTTAAATGTTTGTGCTGTCATCATCTAAAGTAGTGGTATTTCTTTAAGGTGGTAGAGTTGCTAAGTGTGAAAAAATGGTTTGATAATGGCGAGGAGATAGAAGTAATGGGGACATTTAAATATTTGCGCTGTCATCATCAGGAAGCTTGTCTCATGCACAAAAGACACTAGCTGATCAAGGTCTAAAGGCGTTAGGATCACTGTATCGTATATTCAATAATAATCCCCATATATCGTTCGATGTTCTGTACCAAAATGCACTTCAGTCATAGTACCAGTTCTTTCATACGGTTGTGAATTGTCGGGCTTTATGGTGGCTAAACCTGTCGAAAAAGTTCATTTAAAGTTGATGAAAAATATATTAGACGTTACGAAATAAACACCACCAGCACTTGTTTATGGCGAACTACGTGCATATCCACTGATAGTCCATAGGTTGATTAGGATTATAAAGCATTGGAAGAAGATTTTAGAGTGTAGTACACACAGATATATAGTGCTGATTTACAATTCGCTCTTGTCATTATCTGAATTTAATCCTCATGGTGAAAAAAGGGTAACATTATTAAGAGATACACTCTATAAATTAGGCTTTGGTTATTTATGGGTTTCTCAAGGATTGAGTAATTATCATGGATTTATAGCAGAATTTAAACAGTGTATCTATGATGTGGAAGAACGGTTTAAATTACTTGAGTGAAATTAGATTGTATTTACAAAATAAAGATCGTTTAACTTTTGAAAAGTATCTAGTAAATATTGATATAAGGAAATATAAAATTGCTCTTACACGGTTCAGATTGAGTTCACATACACTGTTGATTGAAAAGGGCAGAGGGAATACACCTAAAACACCATTACACGATCGCCTGTGTCGCTTTGTGTGAATGATCTGGAAGATGAATACCATATCTTGCTCATCTGTCCAAAATATCTAGGCATAAGGAATCGTTATCTACAAAAGCATGTCATTGCCAGACCAAGTTTGATAAAGTTTGTGAACATGCTACAAACTACTAGTATACATCTACTGATTAGTATTGCTAAATGTGTTTATCATATATTTAAAATGAAAAGTACAATGGACATGTTAATATTATTTACTCTTGGGTTACCATCTATTATTTCCCTGTTAAGTTACTGTATATCAAACAATGCACATCCACAAACACTCACGACTGTGCAATTATGAATTTTGTAACCGTTGTTTTTGGCCCATGGCCTAAATAAACCTTCCGTCTGTCTATCCGTTAACTACACAAGGTCATCCCAGATTATTCTACGAGAGAGATTAAACTACGAGAGAGAGCAGCCATCCCAAATTATTTCTCATTCGGTAATTAAACTACAAAGAGAACAGCCATCCCAGGTTATTTCTCACTCGGTAATTAAACTACGAGAGAGAACAGCCATGCTACATTATTCTTAACTCCGTAATTAAACTACAAGAGAGTGAGTTATTATGTTAAGTCTCATCGCAATAGTTCAGCGATATGGTGGCTAAAACTAGTTTTCATAACAAATGCATGTAATTTATAAAGCTATGCAAACACAGTAAAACCACCAGATTTACACACATCTGTTAAAACTAGACAAAGGAAAATTAGAATAATACAATAACAATTAACCATAGAAGCTAAAACATTGGCAAGAGATTGCGGGCAAGCAAGGATTGTGTGTAATGTTACCAAACCACACGAGACAACAGTCTTCCAGATATTCTTAACTCGGTAATTAAACTACAAGAGAGAGGAGCCATCCCAGGTTATTTATAGCTCGGTAATTAAACTTCAAAAGAGAGCAGCAATCCCATGTTATTTATAGCTCGGTAATTAAACTACAAGAGGGTGCAGCCATCCCAGATATTCTTAACTCGGTAATTAAACTACAAGAGAGTGCAGCCATCCTAGCTTTTTCTTAACTCGGTAATGAAACGACAATAGAGAGCAGCCATCCTAGATTATTCTTAACCCGGTAATCAAACTACATGTGAAAATTGCCATTCTAGAGTAGTGTTAACTCTGTAAGTAGACCACGATAGATGATGCTGCTGACATATGTCTCTCGTGCTTTCAGCTCCAGTAAGAACTGCCGGTGACCAATCACCCTGTACTCACTGTAAGATTCCTATAAACTATGTGGATCTCCTTCCTGGTCATCGTTATTGCTCAATATGCTGGAGCCACAGAGGTAAGTACACAGCAATAGGAGTCATTTTAATGAGCACACTCTTCAGAACATTATCTTGTAAAACTTTGAACGCAATGGCCATCCAACCTCAGTGCCACAACAGACCTGACTAAAATTTACGTAAGCCTTCGTCAGATAGCAATGGACTGATAACTCTAACCTTTCACATGGTTGTTTCTGTCAATGACGAAGGTGCCAACATTTTAGCCAGAAGTTTGTATTCAATTTTCAATATGGTTATAAAAACAAATTGCTTTTCTCCAAAGCTCAGCGATTTGTATTCAGATGAAATGAAATTTGGAAAATGTTCACGTGAATTACTTCTACTCTTATCCACTGAATAGTCGTGCCAGTTTACACTTACCTGAGGAGTACACATATTATGTGATCTCGAGTCCCACTGGTTCTCTGCCAGTGTTCCAGTTATTTAGGAAGCCTCTGTTGTTGTTTGACATCCTAATTTTGGAGTTACCATATGTTCCCTGTTTTTTCAGTAAACAACTAATAAGCCTCTGCATGTCTGTTATAACGGGTGCAGGATACGCGAACACCTGGTATTATCACAATGTGATAGTGATTCACAACCAATGGGAAGATATAAAAAATAATAATGGGAATCTGCTTTAAACAGAGATTTCTAATGGATTTGATAATGATTTTGTCGCTTTTATGTATATATTATGGATGTAGAAAGGGTGTTGACGCCTCTACATCCCACACCAATCAAATATGTTGGTGGGTGCCGTTTAGTGTACAGAGAATACAATGTCGCTTATTAATAACTACATCAGTGTATTCTTAACCTATAGTACGCTCATGGAACTGTGACGCCAGGCGGTGGAGAGATTGCTCCCATAGACATCGCCCTTGACGAGGACTCCATGTTGACCTACCCAGGAATACCTGATCCTCCTCAAGACTGCTTCAAACAAACAATCAACTTCCATGACTTTCAAAAGGTAACAATGTTGTTTTAAATCAGGTATGTTCCATTGGAAATTAGTACCCCTTGCTTTAACCTATATTATCATGAATCAGATATGTTTTATCTTCTTCACTGGTATGTAATGCAATGGCTGATGAATGTATTGAATATATTTGCAGGGCCTAGTGGCTATAAAGATTATTGAGAAAAGCACATGTTTTGTGAAGAAATCGGACGAGACTTATGAAGAGATCAAGCAGATCGTCGATGACATACACCAGGTAGGCCTATGCAGTTTTCACACTAAATGTTTGGTCCTTCTATCAAAAGTACATGCAACACCCATATACATTCACCGTTATATTTTCTGACGAGAGATAACACATGTCTACCAAACACTACAAAGGACGCTGCGAGTAAACTGATTCTTTCTTTTATTTTTTTGAGGATTGATTTCTGTAACAGACTCTTTCTGCTTTTTTGACAAAACCACAACAGTTTCATGTTATCCAGAACAAAGCAGTCCGTTTTTTTCTTTAAATATGAGCTCATCACTCCATCATGAAAGGGTTTCGCTGGATTCTTGTAAACAGATCTGTTTTAACTTCCTCCGCTTTGCCTGTAAACATTAATGTTATACACAAACAAATTCATCCTATTTGCCAGATCTTCTCCGGTGTTAGTTTCCATCCACATCTATTGGTTCAGAGTCCAAGCATATGTTACCCGTACCCTACTCGAAACTGATACTGTGCAGATAGTCTCTTTCACAGCATCAACCTATTCCACCTGCTTCTAAGACACAATCCTTCCATCAAGCTTTCGACTGCAATATTCTCCCCTGTCCGCTCTTATTATTTGAATTATATTGAGCATGGAAACGAACAGTCAAACAATACTATTATCTTACTAATAGGGACAAACAGCCCCATTGATTCAAGCGACGGAGGAGTGGGCAATTCCTACCTCACCAATACCCAATGAAGAGGTCGTGGAGAGAGTGGGCGAGAAGATCGCAAACTTCTGTGATGGATATGACATCTATTCACTTGAGGATGCACAGGTCATCCAGGCACAGCAAAAATAACTCGGTTTCCGCAATGCGGAAACCTGGTAGAAAGTGGACTGAAACTTAAGTTTCCACCTAGAATCCAGTGAGTTTCCGTTCTTTTACATTGAGTTTCCGCAATAACGGAAACTTACAATTACCCACTTTCCAAGGGTTCCCCGCAAGGTTTCCGTTACCCACACTCCAACAGGTTTCCGCAAGGTATCCGTTACCCACACTCCAAGAAGTTTCCGTTGAGTTTCAGTTAACTTTGAATCCATCAGGTTTCCGCAAGGTTTCAGTTATTAAGACTCCAACAGGTTTCTGCATAGTTTCAGTTACCAACAATCCGACATAGTTTCCGCATAGTTTCAGTTCCCAGCAATCCGACATAGTTTCCGCATAGTTTCAGTTACCAACAATCCGACAAGGTTTCCGCATAGTTTCAGTTACCGGTTTCAATTTCAGGTTCACGGGTTTTCATATGCGTTTCAAAGAGCTAAATGTAAACATTCTTCTTTATTTATATCATAAACTCTTGTTCAAAACAATATAAGCAATTTGTTATTATCATGACATTTACTAAAAGAAAAACAGAATATATAATAAGATTCATTGTTTTATTTTCTCAACATGGTATGGATTAGCATTTAAGGCAAATAAAGATCATACATATAACTAGTAATATAGCACTAAAGAACAGGGCAAAACATGTTGGCATAACTCAATCCAGTTTTAGAAATCATATATCATTTATAACAAAGTTGTAATTTTTCATCAGTTAAACTTTCATTCACTTATTATCTTGAAATAGCATGTTAGATACGAAATTTATTTCTAAAATCAGGCTAATGATGAAAAATAACAATAACATACAACTTAACACAGTGATAAAACATAGTTGCATCGGACATTTATTTGCACGCCTTGGCATTCAGCCACACACTCTATGTCACAACTATCGCCAAACATCCACTATGATATACAATAACAACATACAGCTTACAATACAAAAATAAAATAAAAATTACATTATGAAATTGAAAATAAATTCAATTAAATTGCAAGAGCTGGTCAGTGGGCCCTGTAAGGGGCATCCCTGGCGGAGATCCCTCTGTTACTTTGGTTGGATGCCTCATCCTCGTCCTCCTGTTGGCCTTGACGAGAGCAGTGGAGGTGTAGATTCTTTCCAAGTCCAGTGTCGTCGTGTATGCCATAAGCTTGCTGGACTCACAGACAAAGGGGACGGAATGCAACTAATTGACGTCATCTTCGTCACTCACGACTGGTGATGTCATGTCTATGGTGAGTGTTGTCGCTACCTTTTTCTATCGTCTATGTGGCCAATCAATAGATGCAAGTCTGTTTGGGCGTTGTGCAAGTTTCTGAAAATGGCAGGTTATAACGAATTACTAGGTTATTTTGATGAATTACACAAACATCAATCAACAAGAAACTGACAATGCCAAGGATGATTTAAAATGAGTAATCCACAAGTAACTTTGAATAAAAGAGAACTAAATTGAACAATCACACTTTGCACTAGTTTTCTCAAAACTCAAATTATGCAATTCATCACACTTCATTGACCGAATGTAATATCTTATTTTCTAAAGAGGACACAGAATCTATACAAACTTTGCTCTGGAGTTACATGCTTCCCAGACCAGAGGTAGTAATATGTTATATATAATATCTGAACATTAATTGCATTTTCTATATAGTAATAATGGTACTAGTAATAGATTTTCATCAACGTTGTGGTGTCCACCTCCGTGATGTTGCTGGAATATTGCTAAAAGCGGCGTAAAACCAAACTCAGTCAGGCAGTTGTATTGTTGAAGGCACAAGTATATTCACCCAGTAGTGACTGTATGTTTACACCATTACGTCTTTGAGGTGTATTTAGAAGTGAATAATACAAGACGCGAATGTTTCCGGATGTCAAGGTCTTTATTATGTGAAAATACAATGTTTCGGAGTGAATGCTTACACCTGACGAAGGGGTAAGCATTCACTCTGAAACATGTTTTCACATAATAAAGGAGTTGACATCCATAAACCTTGTCTCTACTCTATGAATTGGAAATAATTTACTACTTATAATGAAAGTCACTACAGATAGGTCAAAATTACCTTCACACATGTTTCAGCTGACCATCCTTGGTCATTCGTTATACAGTCTGCAGACTCATCATCAGCTGAAAAATAAACAATAACACGTTACTTTTCTTTGCATTTCTCCATTCATTCATTTGAGGTTTAACAAACCCCCAAACAATTGCAGCGACATTTATACAAACAAGCAAACTACAGATTTATCACTTTAAGGTTATGCAATGAGTAAGTGAACGGCCTGACATAAACATCCTGATGAATGAAGTTCAGTTATCTCATGTGACATAACCTTGGAGTAATTACGGTATTGTAAAATCAAGGGGTCAGTTTTACTGCCATTTCACACAGGTGTGAAGTTTATTTGGTCCAATTTGAAATCATGATTAAGTTACCGGTTATTCAAATCCATTTGCAAATGTAACTTGAGTATGGTTCATTTTGTGAAAATGTATCTAGGGAAGCATAATAATAAAATATTCAAAGTGAAATTACGTCTATGTTTCATAGTACCATAAACACATACCTTCAGTTAGAGAGGGTGATCTTTTCTTCCAGGAGTGGTCGTGACACGTTTCCTCTCAACAGCCTAAATGGATAAAACAAATCAGTTAATATACAATCTATTTGCTATATTTTTCAAAATTGTAGTATATTTTTCGATAGACACTTATTTTACTTCACCAACCTTTGAAAATAGTTCGTGCAAAACTGTTTATACAGTCAGGGGACTTCAATATACGTCAGTCGGCAAAATTCTCATAGACTTGCATGCTATTTTAGTGTAGCTATGTAATTTTCATTAATTCAGTTTTCCATATTTGGTTGTCAAATTATGCAGGTCGTTAGGAAATAATCTTGGTCACAGATACATAATTTTCCGCATTGTAGTTACATGAGCAACATATATACAACATTGCGTATTCTTTCCCCATAGACCGCCATGTTAAAAATTGCCATAACCATGACACGCATTGAATTGAAAATAAAACGGAAATTATGTCTTTGAAGCTGAGATGATTCAGAACCCATGTGCAAAATATGAACAATATCAAACGGATATCAAATAAATTCAAGACATATTTCTAGCTGCACCAAATTAACATGTAAGTCGAATAATGCATAGTGGCGAATACCTATGGCCACTGGCTGTAATTCGATAGATTAGCTTGATTACCAATCCGGATTATCTGTACGTAAAGTAAATAATTCATAAAACGTTATTTGACAACAAAACAAATTGGTCTTACCTGACAGGGTCGTGGTACTGCGAGTTTTCGCAGCCATTTCCATCTTTCTTTTCCAGGTAGCGAATTCTCTCTTTCAGTGCTTTGAGGAAAACTGAGGCGGCTTTGAAAATCGCGACTCGCAAAGGCTCACGGGAAAAACACTTTGTTGTTGTTTTCAATCTAAATCTAACATTACAGTTTGACAATATCTTTCCGCGTTATACAACAAAAATAAACATACACTATACACATAAAATGTCAGCTGTGTGTTTTATAATGATTTAGGTAGTCTCGCGTGGACGTGATCCGGTCGCCATTGTTTTATTTGTTTACATTGCCGACATCAAAGGGACCGTGAAAGGTGGAAATGAGCAGATTGAATGTGAGTACCCAACAGTGGGCTTGTATGGGCTTAAGGGTCTTCTCATCGCATTATGGGCACTAATTGCTCCTCCTCAGTGTCAAGCATCAACATGTAGGCCTAGAGAAGTGAATAAATCTGAAAACATATTCACGTTACTTTAAAAGTCCTCATCGAGCTCCATGAGTCCTACTCATGAAAGATTGTGTTAGTGGCAAATAGGTGATTTTTCAAAACCCTGTCAGGAGTAGGCAATATACGTTCTGCTGGACGTAAAACTTCACCAGGTAAGTAATTTACCTATTGAGCTCAAAACATGCACATGTATTAGACATGCTTATATCATGTTCATTCTTTTCAGTTCTACACGTAGATCTACGTACATTCCCTGTATTATAACTTTACTTATCTAATTATATGTGATGTCAGCTCAATATATCTACGTGAGCGAGTTTAGTATTATGCCGCACTCGGCAATATTCCAGCTATATGGCGGTATTTATCCAATTATACCAGTACATCTTTTTTATCATTTTATTACCATTAAAACAATTATAACATATACTTTACACTCATAGCTTTGTGTAATAATTTAGGTAATCAATTATTGAACCTCTTAGCCTTACAATGCATTGACACAAGTCACGTATAACATTTCTAAAAGAATCATTGTTTCAATTATTTGATTTACAGATACGTATTGTGGATCCACTGACTTGTTGGAGATTGACAAGAGGCTTGGCTTGGTAATCATTTATAGTTACACCATACCATGCTCCTAATTTCATTAAAGGAAATCTTAAAACAATATTTTTTATTCATCAGCATTTAGTCAAAAACAAGTAAACACTATATAGATACATAGAATAAATTTCTTTATCTTTGTGAAAAATATAATCACTCAAAATGTAACAGTGCGTGGATTCCAGTGTAACCATAAGTTTAACATATGTTATATATGGGATTACACTTTCATAAGTTAAGATATGTTGATATGTTTTCAGTTCAAAGAAAAGACCCAGTTTTCTGTCCGCACTGCCAGTCGTTTGTTTCAAGGAAACAAGGAATCGTCTGGAATGGACGGCAGTTTCTCATCAGGTTAGTCCAAAATACTTCACTTCATAGGTTTCATTTAACGACTTCAGTTTGATCTATCCCATTGCTATCCATCATATATCAATAATGAATATATTTAATTATTGTAATTTGTTTGATTGGCATTTAGAAGTTGGTGACAAATAAGAAAGTAAGAGAGTTTATGGATAACAACTTCTTTATTATATATGATGCGACGTTTCAGTATGGATTCTTATACCGTTGTCGAGCAAGAGTGTAATTATTGTATACCAGATATGTAACTGTAACTGAAAGTGAATAAGTTGTGTTACACATTTTACAGTTTTTAAATTAAATTAAAGGTCACATAAAAATAATATTTTATGTTACTATATTGCTGGGAATGTTTCCTTAGAGAGTTGATAAAACTAAGAAATACCCACGATTTTCATTCATGGGAAATGTTAGGTTTTGTATGCTTTTCTCAGTTGAGTTGGTCATTTCAATTTGAATAAGATCACATATATAATTATGTGTTACATTCAGTGTTTAAACATAATTCGTATCTATTTAAAATATGTATGTACCGTTTTACATATGCTTATATTTCAATTGGCGATTTGGTAGTAGATGTTACCTTGAATATGAGTACAGTAACAGTAATAAATATTACAACAATTTGCTTCAGAATACTGGGTTGGCTGCTATTTTCTGGTACCAATCAATAAAATAAGTGACTTGTCAAATGGAAGATACAATATACATGTATACTACATATCTTTCCTTTGTGATTGTGAAAAAAATATTTTGGTTACATATACAAATTAGTCGTTCTAATTATATAATTTCATTGTGATCAGATGTACCACTGTGCATGTTTATGAATATGTATAAATGTGTTACTTTGGCTGTTTTTGCAGTTTTACTAAGCATTGTATGTATTGTATTTGCAGGATGATGAAGAGTCTGTGTGGGATGATAAGGATGTCAACGATGTTGTGCCAGACATCAACCAGGACTCTTCATATTCACCCACAAATCTTAAGTAGAGCATACACCATCTGTTTGCGGTTGTGGACTGGTTCAAGCCTTGTTGTAATCAACTTGGTTATATTTCCCCTTTCTGTGGCAAAACTCAGGCTCAACTCAAGGCTCTGCGTCATATGTACCACATCAGAGGATTGTTGGCTGCTCAGTGTGAGTGCAACAGAAGCTTCATGGTTGTAAGCAAGTTGCCAAGTCTTTACTATGTGAGATTGTTAGTGTGTATATGTTAAGATACACTGAGACAGCTTCAAATGTACACTTCATGTATATGTATATGGGCCCATGACCTTTCATACAATAAACATTTGAATTTGAAATCTGTTTCATAAATACCACAGCAAATATGTTATGCCTGCACTAGTAGACCTCATTTCATCATATGCATAAAATGTTGTAGGGTTTGACATATTTGTATTTGCATATTCATACAGAATTTGTGTTCTCCAATGCTGAAGATTCCCTCTTGATGTGGACACACACACACACACACACACAGTTGAGTACTGTTGAAATGTGAGCTATTCACAATAATGAAACAGATGAATCATAACAGTGCATGTGTCACTGTGTTTGTTGTTTTTCGGGTACAATGTAATAAATTGTACATTCACAAGTTATGCAGAATGGTAGTGAGTGAGTTGCATAGTCACATCGGTAGCCATATCGTGACTATGAAAGTCGTAACTCTAAATTTGTAAATGTGTACATGAAATAAAAAACAAACTTATATACTTACCTGTCTTCGAAGGACAGTAAAATAACTAGTCTATCACAAATGTACACTAAAAACTGGCATGTAACCATAAACACTTTACCGGTACAGTATAAAAATGAGCTATAGATTGCCAACACCTGAAGGTTGATCAACATACTAGGGACTACGGCACGAACAGTACTTTTGCTTCCTGCATTGACCCTAACTGGATTCTGTAAACAGAAATTATCTTGCAAATGTAACAATAAGTAAATATAGTCCCCCCAATGGAACAGCACAAAGCTAATTATAAGTTTGCCATTTCATCTAAGCTGAAACCAACAGAAACCTAGCGGAAACCTACATTACCCAGTATCCAATAGGTTTCCGCAATAGCGGAAACAAAGTCATTTCTCTTTGAATGTTTCAGCGAACTGAAACTAAATGGAAACGCATAATGATAGTTTCAGTTGTAGAAACTTGACGGAAACCTAGATTTGTTAGTTTCAGTTTTGTAAACTATGCGGAAACTCGCATTGTCTGTTTCCGGATACTGAAACCTAGCGGAAACCTACATTACCCAGTATCCGTTAGGTTTCCGCAAAAACGGAAACTAAGTTATTTTTGCTGTGAGCTGCCAGAGGTAATGATAAATATATTTGCCTCAGACGTACCTAGCACAAACATCTGGTCATTTCTATGACATATTTGCACTACTGGAACATGAGATTCTTGAGAGGCATTTTATGACCTTCTTATTTATTGTATAACAGAATGTTTCTGGGCCACTTCTTGTCCCTTCTTCAGGTAATTAAAGACAGCTGTAGAAAACATGTTATATATACCATATTTACTGGAAGGCAGAGATGTACATGTATATACAATATATGCCAATGAGGACAGATACAAAGCAGTTATAAACAATAATTTGGATAAGGTAGAGCCAGTTGACACAAACAAAGAGGATAAGGAGATGTGAACACAGCGGAGTGATATAAAGATAAATATGTGACAAAAGAGGCGATGCGGTTTTTTTGTGATGTTCCAGGCACTTTGGAGGTATACATCCTGATCTCTATTAATCTCTGGGGTTTATCTCCTAGTATTTTCCGTTTTCGCCAATCGTGAACGTTGGTAGCCAAGATACTAATATGTTGCCAGTCAATGGAGTGGGTGGGGTTGTTTGTTATATGCTCTGAAAGTGCAGATTTGTCAGCGTTTTTCACATTTAGCATGGTTGGCATCTCATAGACAACTCACTCAAACAGCTTTGTATTTGTGAAGTCGATTGCTTGTGTCAGTTCTAAATCAATATAAGTGTTATCCCCCTCTACTGTGGAACTACTGTCCGCCGTCACGACATTGCTGGAATATTGCTAATCACACTCACTCACGACTGGTTCAAAGTAGGATTTCCTCCTCCAAAATCCATTTATTTATTGCACACTGAAATTAAGTTGGCAACTGGACAAAGAAAAGACATTCATGTAGGCATTCCAAGGATGGTTGTCCAACCTTTCATGTATAGACATGGTACATAAACGTGAGAATGATCTTCTATCTCAACTTCCGTATTGTGAGGACTATGTTCTGACTGCTTCATTAGTTTAAACATCCTCAAAATATAGAAGCTGACATCCCTACATTTTCGCTTCTATGTGTATCACCTCTAAATACCGTCCAAAGACATTATATGTAGTATACATTTGATACAATTATCGTCTGTGTCACAAATGAGTGTTTCTGTTACAGATGTACCCAGATCAAAAAGTCAGGTCGTCAAAAGAAAGATTGCTGGAGATGGATGGTGTGTGCTTTGTATCAAATGCAAAATCACCATATGATTGTCCTGACTGTCCAGATCTCAATAAAACTTGAGTCAATCATGTTATCGTCTATGTTACACTCGTGTGTATATGCTACTACCAGTCCGTGCAACTGCCCATTGCGTGCTCGGGCAGGCCTTTTGCTGAATGTGTGCATTGTGCAGTGCAATGGACAGACAATGGATCAGATAAGTAATAATGTGATAATGCATGCAAACGGAAGTTGCACAGATTGCGTGAAAATAACATTTCCACAGATGGTTATTGTTTTACCCCACACTCAGCATACCTGTGAAGGTCCGGGTTAGAATATTAATCTGCAGTAATCCATGCTTGTCATAAGAGGCGACTAACGGGATCGGGTGGTCAGGCTTGCTGACTTGGTTGACACATGTCATCGGTTCCCAATTGCACAGATCGATGCTCATGCTGTTGATCACTGGACTGTCAACTTCCATGACTTTCAAAAGGTAACAAAGTTGTTTTAAATCAGGTATGTTCCATTGGAACGAGACTTGATTATTTACGGACCGCCACCATATAGCTGGAATATTGCTGAGTGCGGCGCAAACTTCAACTCACTCCCTCATTCACACTCAGCAACATTCCAGCAACATAATCAAGTCTGGACCAGATCTTCCTACAACGACATGTCAAGCAAGTCAGCGAGTCTGACCACAAGGTCCGTAAGTCGACAAGCAGGGGTTGCCGAAGACCAATTCTAACCCGGGTCTTCACGGATCCCTTTGCGCCAGAAAAAAATAGAGCTTAAAGAATTATACAATATGTAGATTGTATTCATGTTGAAATACCCAATAATTGGTCTTAGATTTTGCATAATTAATAATACTAATAACTGGCTTGTATAGCGCCTACTTTCCATCACAGATACTCAACGGCGCTGCATACATTGCTAAAAACACAGTAAGTGTGAAAAGACTTCTATACTGAAGTCATCTTGAAGAAATAGGTTTTCAGCAAATTAGGGTGAAAGAAAGGTTGACCTTTTGGTTTTATTGTAATATGAAGATCAACTTAAGATGCAGTGATCAACAGCAGACGTATGGATCTTTGGGTTGACATTCTGCTTGGGAGGAGACAACAGAAGTCGATATTGTAATATGAAGATCAATTCAAGGTGCAGTGATATGTGGTTAGTGTCTGATTCAATGTGTGGAACCAGCCTTGACAGACTTTCAGAAAGAACTTTTTATTGTAACGAATATCACAACCCAAGATGGATTCTGTCTGTATTACAAAATACCAAAGACTAACATACAATCACACAAACTAATTGGCGGACTGCTTTGCAGGGTAAATGAGGATATCACCACGCGATGTCAGAAGGGAAAAAACTGAAAGGAGAAAGAAGTCAAATGATGATAATTACAATTTTAACTAAAGTGGGTGAGTGAGTTAAAAAGTTATATCGTATCGGCAATATTTCCGAAAAGAACAGAACGAACCATTTCAGTTGCTAGAATATTCTGCTCAACAAATACATCAGTGAAACATTTATTTCTCTTAAAACACGAGCGAAACTGTACTTTAGTCAAGGGTAGTTGTTGACAATTTGAACCATAAATCAAAACAGTTACAGCTGAAGTAGTGGGTAAGTTCTGGGTCTAAATGGTGGAGTCATGCCAATAGCACAATCCAAGTACATGTTGGATGTCTACTCCAACGTTGATTTCGTTGCTGGGTAAATATGAATGTCACCACTTAAAGTTATCACAGCACGTAGCCAATGCGGAAACTGCGCAGCGATGAGAGCCCAGAGACAGAGACGGTTTAGACATCCATCAAAAGGAGACGCACCTGGTTCGTCAGCCACAGAGTCCCGTCGGCATAGGTCTGAACAGAAGAGGGTGGCAATGTTAATATCACCTATGGGAGGGGGGTAGCCTCGTGGTTAAGTGTTCACTTGTCACGCCGAAGATCCGGGTTCAATTCCCCACACGAGTATAATATGCGAAGTTCATTTCTGGTGTCCCCCACCGTGATTGCTAGAATATTACTAAAAGCAGCGTAAAAGTACACTCATTCACTTTAAAGCTGCGTTGACCAAAAAAGCCATTTGGATAAAACAGTGAACTGACATCCACTCAACCTTTGTTTGTATGTTACTAAATGCAATATTCTATGTAGGGCAAGAACAGACAGTGAGTGAGTTAATATTTAGCGTCACTTTAATCATATCGTGATGAGAACAATCTATTACTAAAATGAATAAATGTAGAACGTAGAAACCTGTCGCCGATGGACAGTAAAACAACTATAGTACCACAAATATTGACTTAAAACTAGCATGTTGTTTTTTTATCAAAAAAAAAGATATCACTATAGACAACAGTACAATATAAGTTGAGGTGAGTTGAGTTGAGTTTGGCTTTCCGTCACATGGGCATTTTTCCAGCCATATAGTGACGAGAACAAGTTTGCATTAATAGACATTTCAAGTACAAAATCCAAATGAGTTTTATTTCAAATATGTCATATATATATATATATATATATATATATATATATATATATATATATATATATATATATTATTCATTTCATTGTCATTTAAAGACAGAAAATGTCATAGTACTAAATTCAAAAGCACGCAATTTGTTATTCACATTGCACAATGTTTGTGACTTTTCTGTAAGTCACAACCCATAATACTTTAAATATATCCTCAGCAGCAAAAAAAACAACACCCAAAACGTCACTGTAATCAAATCATTACAGAAATGGACATAATAAGCGGATCAAAAACATATTTTGTACATTATCTTGACACATCAATATATAGCTCAGCACAATTTCAAGACACTACGTGAACGTTTGCAGTCGAATCTCACTCTTGATTTCAGTATCTTGTTTGACCGCCACGAGTGGCAATAACTGCAGCACAGCGTCTATGCATGGGGTGCACCAATCGATTGATGAAGGCCATTGGCACCTGGAACCACACTCTGAGAAAGGCCTGGCGCAATAAATCGGTTGTGTTCGGCCTTGGTATGACATTATTCAGTCTCCGCTGAATTTCATCCCAAAGATGTTCAATTGGGTTTAAATCAGGACTAAGGGCTGGTTACTGCATAGTGTTGACACCGTTGTGCTGTAGGAAGTCCCGGGTAGCTCTGGCAGGAGGCCTCGGTTGTTATCAAGTTGGAAAATGTTGTTCCGGTGACGTGCGACATGTGGTATGACGTGGGGTCTGAGAGCATGGTCGATATAGCGCACCGCTGTGATGCCGCCTCCTCTCCCTGGACCAAGGTTCTGGAACACCACGATACCTACTCTCTGGTTCAGGCCTATTCTACCCCATCCCATAATGCTTGCACCTCCCCATTAGTCTCTTTTAACACATTGGTCTGAGTAAAGCTGGCCACGTCGTCGCCATATTCATGTTCTGCCATCTGCAGTTGATACGCAGTAACGACTCTCATCTGTGAACTGAACAGTTCTCCATTGCCTGTATCGCCAGTTTTGGTGTTGTAGGGCAAACTGTAGACGTTCACGCCGATGACGAGGGGTGAGGATAGGTCCACGGTAAGGTCTACGGCAATGGAGGTTCCCGCTGTTAAGACATCGGCGTACTGTATCAATACTGATTGGTCTTCCGTGTGTTCCCACAGTCTGGCGTGCTGTTTCGGATGCCTGCATGATGGGATTCTGTACATGCTGTCGCAAAGCATCGCGGTCTTGTCGTCTTGTGGTCACCCTTGTTCTGCCAGTACGGGGGCGACCATTTGTGTTGTTGGTGGCCCGGAAAAATTGCTGCAGCCTGAAGATGGTCCGAACGTTGACCTGGAAGTGATTTGCAACGGCTTGTGCAGTGTGGCCAGCTTCAAGTCTTCCTAGAGCCTGGTTCCTCTGAGCTGTTTTGAGTCGCGGCATCCTGCTGCTGTTGTGATGTGAATGCTTCAACCAAGTTGGGGTGGGGTGGGGGTGTGGCATTTTATACGGATTGTGAACAGCACGTGCAGCATGAGTTGCATGAAAAACATGGAGAACACCGTACCATCTCCGAGGTCAGGTTGCGTTTTTGAGACCATTTTCTGGGTTCAATTCTGAGTTTGGGAAGGAATGTCTTTGCTCAGGTAAAATTGGGGATGTTGTAAATGAGCTTACAGTTATCCTTTTCTGCGAAGGAAAAATCCAAACTGGCGTTTCTTTTGCTGCCTAGTATATGTTTGTCATGTTTTTCTTTTGCAGAACAATCCAAAACCATGCGATAAGCTCTATAGTTTTGAACATCAGTTTACACGTGTTTGAACCTACCATCTACTGTCGTGTCATGCCTATATAGCAGGAAACATACTTGACTAGCACCACCTACCATGGACTGTCGTATCTTGCATATAAAGCAGGAAACACACTTTACTGGCACCACCTACCATGGGCTGTCGTGTCTTGCACATACAGCAGGAAACACACTTGACTGGCACCACCTACCATGGACTGTCGTATCTTGCATATACAGCAGGAAACACACTTGACTGGCACCACCTACCATGGACTGTCGTGCCTTGCATATATAGCAGGAAACACACTTGACTGGCACCACCTACCATGGACTGTCGTGTCTTGCATATATAGCAGGAAACACACTTGACTAGCACCACCTACCGTGGACTGTCGTGTCTTGCATATTTAGCAGGAAACACACTTGACTGGCACCACCTACCATGGACTGTCGTGTCTTGCATATATAGCAGGAAACACACTTGACTGGCACCACCTACCATTGACTGTCGTGTCTTGAATATATAGCAGGAAACTCACTTTACTGGCACCACCTACCATGGGCTGTCGTGTCTTGAATATATAGCAGGAAACTCACTTTAATGGCACCACCTTTGTGCACAAAGCTAACTTCGTTGTTTTGCCGTCTCAAGCATTATCTCCCGACATGAATCCGAAAGAACACTAAAAGGACCACCTGGATCGACAAATCAGAAGACTACCAGCACCACCTGTCACCACCCAGCAACTGGAACAATGTATCCTACAGTTAGTGGAACGGATCATGCCATTAATTTTTAACAACGCTGAATACAGTT